CCTTTGCTTTTTTCGTTTCTCAGCATCTAGACATCATCTCTAGACTTTGGCCTGGGCCTTTACATAGACTTATATCTTCAGCAAGGCCGGTCCTTCCAATTAATATCTCAACCAGCAGAGTTCAATATGTTTACCAACTACCCATCCCTCGTTGCCTTCTTGGGCATAATTTGCCTCTTGCTCGACCTTACATTCACTACAGCTGCCGAGGTTGGGTATGGTCCTAAATTCGACGCATGTGGTGATAATTGCCAGACACAGATGGTATCGTTCTGCACCGTTGGGCACGACCAAGCTCAGATGCGAACATGCTGGTGCGAGGAAGCAGAATACATAATTCGCATGGATGCCTGCTTGAGGACTTGCGATCCAGCGGTTAGCAACATCGATGAACAGCGAGATCAGCTACTCAGATATCGAAATTTCGTATGCGAGCCATCAACTGCTTCAGCGGATACGGAGTTCACGGAGTACTATCAAACCAGATTTGCTAGCGTGGAGGGTGGTTTTGTGCCTGAGGCTACAAGAGGTATTCCACCACCGACTGCGAGTCCCCGAGACATCCAGACCACAACAACTGAGACTGTGACTTCGACCTCAACGCCATTTGGGAGTGATATTTATACAAACCTCCTGCCTTCATCTACCCTTACAACAATTGTTAGGCCTACCAGTAACATAACTACCAGCCCAGTCTCTACTGCAACTGCAACTGCATCCTCATACGTGACCGCATTGCCCTCTACTGCAGCTGGTCCAACAATGCTCAAAACCGGCCTCACCACTGTTCAATTGGCTCTCATAATCTCTGGAGTGGCTCTCTTCTCAATAATACTGTCGATGTCAATACTCTACTATACACGGCGCCGTGAGCCACCCAAACGTCCCATCTGGAATCCTCCACCACCACCACCACTTCCTCGCCCGTCTCCAACAAGCTTTGTATACTGCCATCCTACCAGCCCACCTCCAATCTTCCTCTCTCCCAGTCGCAAGAGTTTCGATCTTGACCTTGAACCTCATGCGATCACCACATCCACATCTTCGTTCTACTCCCGTGACAGCGAAAGCGTGATCTCGCCTCCCAGCCGTGGAAGAGGTCGTTACACTTACTTCCCACCAAGAGAATCGCCAATGCCTTCACCTGAACTATCCGACTTCAACAAATACTTCCAGCCACCACCACCACCACCACCACCACCACCTCCTCCTCCTCATCCTCCTAGTTCGTCTTACTACTCTGTGACGCCCCTCGCAACACCAGCTGTACCGGCATCGTCACCCACGCCCTCCGTATCGCAGATGACCTCCGCTTCCGCAATCGCTGCAGCAATCGTAGCAAACCATAGAAAGAGCCGGAATTCCTCACATACCCTCATCGATGCCGAGCCACAACAGGCAGTAGTGCAGGGCGCCGTGGGACGGAACGCGAGCAGAAGTAGAAGCAGAGGGGTTGACACAAGAAGGAGCAGTAGGAGAAGAGATACTGGGATTGAGAGCGAGTGCTGCTATGTATATGAGTGCGAAGAGGATGATTGTAACGCTAGCTGTGAGAGTTGGAGTGAGAGGGGCAGTTGCTACTGGTATGAGGAGGATGCGAATTGGTGGGATTTGAGGGAGTCGCAAGTCATGGGACCCGTACTTGGATCAATGGATTCTTGATCCATTTTATCCCATTATTCCTTTTCCTTTTCCTTTTCTTTCCTGGTTAATTTCCTATGTGTGGTTTTTTGATTTTTGGGTTGCGGGAATTTTTCCTTTGGTTTTGCGATTTTCTTTACTTGGGACTGGAGTTTTTTATTTCATGGGTTACATTTTATAACGGCCGGGATTTCTTTTTATCTTTCATAAGTATATTTTCCTATTTTCTTTATTTCTTTATTTTCTTTATTTTCTTTCTTTTGTCTCTTTCATCTCTCTCTTTGGACTTATATACGGGGGCAAGTACGCGAGTACTCGGTTGGTGTTTTCTGCATTTTTCCCCTTTGTTTTACTGATTCCTTTCTAATGGGATGTCTGGTACTCTCTCTTCTTAATATTGCTTTCTTCTTTTGTATAAATTACATACACAGGCTCGTTTTGTATATATATATCGCTTGGGACGGTTATATTTTTTTTATTATTTCCTTCATGTTTATAGCATTGGATGGACGCATGGATGGATGGATGGATGGCATGGCATGGCATGGCATAGGATTTGAGGGCATTTGGAAAGCATGTACTAAGGCGTTTAGTAAAAGGTCGTGAAAATAAGCGTTGCAACGGGGCGACTTTTCACTAAACGCCTTAGTACAAGATGTAGTTTTTTATTTCATTGCATTGTACAAACACAGCATTCATTCACTGATTCGTCTGGGAAAAGAAATCTCTATATGTATATATGAATGAAATCTCGAAGAAAGAAAAAATTCTCTTCGTCATCCGAACCCGGGAGACCAGGGAAAGGATTAAGAAGTTGAGTATACTGATGGCGGCGAGATTCGAACTCGCGCTCTTTCGAACTACGGTTTTGGGCAAATGTCCTAAACGTAGCGCCTTAGACCACTCGGCCACGCCACCTTAAGGGCTTACGTAAATCGCTATTATTTTGACCGTGGCGCTTTCGGTTTTCATTTGGTTTGGGTTTGTGGTTGTTGTGCAGGGATGGTGAGTGCGCGGTGATGCAGCAGGTGGTGATGTTGTGTTGTACCCACTGTGGTGGAGTAAGCTATGAGGTTTATCGATAGCAACCGTAGGGCTTTGGGTTTTGAAAAAGCTTGGTGCTTGGAGCAGGGAGTGGGATAGGAGTGACGTATCGGTATTGCATGGTGCGGGCTTGGTAACTGAGCACGTTGTGAGCTTCAACGTGCTTCCTCGCGATCGGCCCGTAGAGTAGGGAAATACGTAGTTATATCGATGAATATTATGATGGGAAATGACTTTATTGTATTTCCCTCCGCCTTCCCGGCACAGAAAAAGAAAACGGCCAGAGTCATCGCTAGTATGAAGGTTGATCTCCACAGGAGTATCATTTTCTAAATACACAAGTACTTTGTCGCCGTGTGTCATCTCCGCTGATAGTTGATCACGAAGCCATGACAATTAATCGATAGCTTAGCTCGCATTGATAGGCTGAACAGGTCGACGTAATGTGCTTTCCGCTCCGCGAACGGATCTCTTTGAGCTGGCTGGCCAAGATTTTTCCACGGCCGGCCGCCGACCGGGCAAGCTCTGGGCATATGCAGGTTAGATAAAGCTTCATCTCCACAGCTGCAGTCCGGCCAAAAGGGCCTGTGGAGAAAGAGATAGAGTGTTACTGGGGGGGGGGGGGGGCGGAGCTGACCTGCGATGAATTGATGGAGTATGGTGGACTTTGTGAGATCAGAGGTGATGGTATGGGGAAATGTGAGGAGGGGGGGTATGGTTCTTTCCTGCCTACGGTACCGGTGGAGCTTTGTTTCTTTCTGGTAAACAAACCCCTCCCTCGGTGTGGAGGTAAGCTTTTGCGAACCTGTTTGTGTTGCGGGTCTGCTGGAACAGCATGAAGGGGGGATGAAGGTTGAGTTTGTGTTTGATGTTCAGAGTGTTGTTTGTGTTGATGTGTTGATGTGTTGATACGATTCGAGTGATTATCGATATCGTGAAGCGCCTTCTTCCAACACATGCACACTCTACAAAGACCTACCTCAGTATGATGTAAAACTCACGATCCACAATCCCAATGTTGTATCGACCTACATACAAAAACCTGCTTCCTAGAGTCATGTACATGTAGTTAGCACCCTCCAACTGTACTGCCGATCACAACCCATCACTCGACTTGGCGGCCGCTAACTCTCTCTCACGCACTCTCACTCACTCACTCACTCACCAAAACAAAACAAAGTAAAACAAAAAACACAAACAAACCACCGGACCGTAACGCTCCGCGCTCAACCCTCTCTCCCTCCCCACCGCGAATCGAATCTAACCCAAAAAACCAAAACCAAAAAAAAAAAAAAAAAGAGAAACCTAAGATGTCTCACCCACAAACCACTCCCGCAGTCTCAAAGTCACGTGACACACCTTTTTTTCCCTTCTTATTTCCTTTTTGGACAGCTAGTTAAGCGCCGGGCGCAGATTACGGTTGGGTTTTTTTTTTACTGCTTTTATTGGATGCCGGTAGCCGTCGCACCTTTTTTCTTTCCTTTTTATGTGACGTAGAGGTCACTAGCAGGAGAGAAGGGGGGTTGGGGTGGTTGAGTGAAGGGGTTTTGGGGAGTCCCGGGGGTCCCGGGGGGGAGGGAGGCAGCAGGTGCGGTTTTTGGGAGCTTGGTTGTGGGAGAGGAGGGATGAGGCTGAGGGGTGGCGTGATGAGAGAGAGAGAGAGAGAGAGAGAGCAGGGGGTGTGGCGTGGCTGGATTAAGGTTGTGGGTTTTGCGGTACACGCCCGGCACAGAACGGGGGGGTAAACACGTCCTATCAGTTCCTTGAATTGCGTTTTCTGTCAATCAGCCCATAGTGGCGATTCCTCCATTTGGTCAATTGAGGAAGTGAAGTTATCGTGAGCCGTCTCTCTTTTGGTTCTGTGGTTTTCGTCTCTTCCGGTTTGGGTCAGCTAGCTAGCTAACGAATTAGGGCGGCGCCTCCGACCTAAATATAAACTCAGCAGCTAATTGACACTGGCAGAGGACTTGGTTATAGCTGGCTAGACTACCCCCGTGTAACTAGTACTCAGTGTTCTCGTCTCGTCTCGTCAGGACTCAGGAGTCTGTAAAACATCGTGAAGTGAGTTTGAGCTCGGTTTGGGGGGAAAGTCAGCGACACAGCTGGAGAGCCGCTGGAGTTTATTTAGATTTTAAGTCTCCAAGTCTGTAGAGACATGTTGAATTGAGAATTTATAAAGACTGCTCTCTTTCTCTCTCAATTCTTTATTAATTAAAAACTATCACGATATCAATTGATTAAGCCATCAATTCTAAAGAGCCAGTTCTAACCCCAATCTCCACAACACGCATCACAACCAATTAAACCTACACAACATGCATCTCCCCATCACACTCACTCTCCTTACTCTCCTCTCCCTCCTCTGCATCTCCCTCGCGGCGCCCACGCCCAAGCCCACACCTGCAAGCAAAGTCGCCACCAGCGACAGGCACCAAGTCAGCTGGGGCCTACTCGCCAACGGGCCCGCCTTCACCGGCAAACCGGTCCTCCTCGGCGCAGCCGGCTCGGTAAGCTCTCCCTTCTACCCACTGCAATTAATCCACTTTGTACATTAATGGCTAATTCGCTGGAATATAGTTGTACATCTCCAACACCACACTTCCAGCCCCTCCCAGACGCGCCTCCGCTTTGAGCTCAAGCTGGGCGCGGACGGCGTTGTCGGTGCGCAGGTCATGGACTATGTGACTGAGAGTGGGGATGAGGATGAAGTCGTCTATATGTTCCAGTCGGCTGAAGATGGGGGGCTGATGTATGGCCCTGAGGTGAAGGGGAAGGCGGGGCCGTGGGGGTATGAAAAGATGGATGGGAACTGGATCCTGGCGCTGGATGGGGATGTCCAGGCGAAGGCCGTTTGGAGGGGGGAGGAGGGGGTGTGGCAGGTGTATTTTGGGTGTGATTCTGCGGCGGAGGAGGGGGGTGTGGATGTTCTGCTGGAGGGGCATATCTTGTAGAGAAAGATGGGGGATTGAAAGGGACAATTGCATGGCTTGGGGTAAAATATGGCTGGGGATCTGGAGTAAAACGGCGTTATTATGGGTTTTTATTTTTTGTGATTATTATTATGATGTATAGGATTAGCAGGATGTAAATATAAAATATCTGCAAATTCACAGGCCATCATTCGCAAAGTCCCAAGCACAGGCCATCACTCGGCCTCTCCACCCCTAACCCTGGCTTATTAATTACCCGCAACTTGCAACCGTCGCATCTTCCTGATCAAGCTCGATCATGCACTTCTGATACCTGGCATCTGCAACTGTCTTGCTCTTTCTCTTCTCTCTCGATCTCTCCGGTCAAGCAGCTCTCTCTTCTCTCCTCCCCCCCCCCCCCATCCCCGCGTCTCTATATAGCTTCATTTCCTTTTCTTTATCCTTCTTTCTTCCTCTCCTGCATAATATATACATATTCTCCTTTCTTTTTTATTTTTATTTTTTCTATTATTACATATTTCTATCCATGAAAACCCACCTATGGCACCACCCCCGGCATCACATCTGAGAGCTCACAGCTCGCCGAAACCGATGCTATGGCCGCTCCTGGTGCTCCTGTGCGTGCTGCAGTGCGCTGGCGGCGCGCTTGCAATGACGGCGTCCCAGAAGATGGCGCTGCGTGAGGAGGCCCGCGCTATGTTTAGACATGGGTGGGAGAACTATATGCAGCGGGCTTTCCCGGAGGACGAAGTACCATCACCCACCCCACCCCCCTCCCCCCCCCCTTTCCCCCCACCACCACCAAAGCTATTGTCTTGGAAAGCTATGATGGAGAAGGATAGTGGGGCTGATGGAGAATGTGTTGTGTGTGTGTCTGCAGATCAAGCCGATAACGTGCACGCCCCACCACCGCGACCGCGAGGACCCAAAGAACATTGGCCGCAACGACGCAATGGGCGACTTCTCGCTGACGGCCGTCGACACGCTGAGCAGTCTTGCGGTGATGGCGGCGAGCAATGCCGAGGACGCGGAGCGCTTCTGGAGGACCACGGAGGAGATTGTGAGGATTTATTGGTTGGTTGGTTCCACGTTGTTGTTACCGGGGGTGCCGGGAGGGGGAGGTGCGGTGAAGGGAAGGGATGGGAGAGGAACAATGGGTGGCTGATGTGTACGGTGTGCTGGTTTGGATAGGTATAATGAGCCAAAGGAGTGTGATGCGGGCGCCGGCGAGGACTGCGACGAGAAGACGAGCTCGTGGGGCCGCTTCCAGAACCGCAGTCGGGAGTCAAGGGGGTTTGATATCGATGCGAAGGTCCAGGTATTTATCACCACGCCCCTGCCGGTAGTCTATATAAGGGGATTATGAGAACGGAAGTTCACAAGAGAGGCACGGGCGGCGGTGTTTTGTAGATATTCGAGACCACGATTCGGACGCTCGGGGGTCTACTCTCAGCCCACCAGTTCGCCGTGCGCTCGCTGCCATCACTTCCGGAGAGTGTCCGCCCGCGCCGAAGATACAACAACGAGCTGCTGTCGCTCGCGGAAGACTTGGGGTCCCGGCTGCTGCCCGCACTGACAGAGTCCCCGACGGGGCTGCCATACCCGCGCATCAACCTGCGCTACGGCCTGGCAAACAAGTCAAAGAACCCAAAGTACTACAAGTACCCGCGGCGCGCGCCGCACCCGCACCCCATGCCCTGGTCGCCGCAGGGCGAGCACGAGAGCGAGAAGAACTGGAAGGTGCCCAAGAGCGCCACGCGCGAGAGCCCCTCGGAGGAGATCACAGAGACGTGTACGGCGGGCGCCGGCTCGCTCGTGCTCGAGTTCACAGCGCTCTCGCGCCTCACCGGCGACCCGAAGTACGAGAAGGCGGCCAAGCGCGCGTTTGAGGCCGTGTGGGAGCGGCGCAGTGTGCTGGGCTTGTTTGGCGGAGGGGTCGACGCGGAGACAGGGCTGTGGAATAGCCCTATTGCGGGTATTGGCGCGGGGATGGATAGTTTCTTTGAGTATGCGCAGAAGGCGTTTGTACTCTTTGCACGCGGAGGAGAGAAGGGAGAGGATGCGTGGTTCTGGAACGTGTGGGAGGAGAGTAGTGCCGCGGTGGCGGCACATATGAAGATGGATACGCCGGCGGACTGGTGGGGAATGTGCATCTGGCTACGGGCGCGAACATCATGGGTGCGAGCGCATGGATCGATTCGTTGAGTGCGTTTTGGCCAGGTCTGCTGGTGGGCGGCGGGCAGGTGGAGGAGGCGGTGAAGAGTAATCTCTTCTACACGGCGCTATGGAGCAGGTTCTCGGCGCTGCCGGAGAGGTGGAATGTCAGGACTGGCACGGTGGAGGGCGGGCTTGGGTGGTATCCGGGGAGGCCGGAGTTTATCGAGAGCACGTATTTGCTGTATCGCGCGACGAAGGATCCGTGGTATCTGCATGTGGGGGAGATGATCATGAGGGATCTGAAGAGACGGTGCTGGAGTAAGTGTGGGTGGGCGGGGCTGCAGGATGTTAGGACGGGCGAGAAGCAGGACCGCATGGAGAGCTTTTGGCTGGGCGAGACTTGGAGTTATCTGTTTTTGCTGTTTGATGAAGGTATGCTGAACTTCCGTGTCTTCTAATTTTCTTGGTTTACTGACCATTTCCCAGATCACCCGCTGCATAAAGGCGATGATCCGTGGGTGTTTACCACCGAGGGCCATCCGCTCATCTTTCCAAAGTCGTCTGCGCCGCCTACTAATAAACCGGCGGTGTATAAACCTTTGCCGTCATCGCTATCATTGACATGCGAGAACCCCCGGCGTGGTGATATCTCATTCTTTTCGCCCACTGCGTCTCGTCCGGACACATTCCATGCTGCGCAGTTTACCCGTCTGCACTTGTTGCCCAAAACCCCGCCGCTTGGCCTGTCTCCTTTGCAGCCGTCGGATCTTGATATACATGCTGAGAACTCCTACTTTTGGTCACCCACGAACTCAACCTTTTACCCATGGACTCTCCCGCCGCACCTAATCCACCCGGACTCCGTCTGCGCACCCCTCCCAGGCCGCGAGTCCTTCGAGCTCATTTTCCCCTCTGCCTCCTCCTCCGCCACCTCCGGCGACGGCACCGCCGGCATCGTAAAGCGCGTCGTCAACGGCGTCATGGTCACCGGCAGCATCCGCGGCATCCGCATGGGCCTTCTCAAAGAGCCCGATGACACCCTGCGCGTCACCAGTGTCGGCGGCACGTCCCTCGGCCGCGGCGAAGCGGTATACCTCGAGCCCGGCCTCGTCGACAAGGGGACCAAGAACGACGCAAACTTCCAGGTTGCTGCGGACGACGAGTTTGTGGACCTGATCATTGAGGTGGATGATGATGCTGAGGCGCCGGTGGAGGCGGAGGCGGGGGAGATGGAGGGGCATGGGTATGGGTATGGGTATGGCGGGTATGAGTTCCCGGAGCTGGATAGTAGGAATGCACCGCTGGTGGATAAGGGTACGCTTGGGGAGCTGCTGGCGAAGCTGGGGCTAGATCTACAGATTAGTGATCTGCTAGCCCTGGTGGGCGGAGAGTCGACGGCCGCGATGGAGGAGCGCCAGAAGAAGACGCATGTCATTGACCCCATTGCCGCAGCGTCAAATATCCCGAAGCCGCCCAAAAAGAAGCACAAGACCATCCCCGCCGTCATGGCGACTGGCCTGAGTGCCTACACACCGCCGGATAAGCCCTTTGCGCCAGCATCATCACCGGTTTCTTCAGGCTCAGCGAACCCGCGACAGCTGGCATTCACGAATATCTACTTCTCGCCCGGGACGGGGTGTGTGCCTGACCCGCTGCTGCCGGCGAATGCGCAGATTGTGTTTGTACGGCGGGGCGGGTGCACGTTCTCGCAGAAGGTGCGTAATGTGCCGGATGTGCGGGCGGTGAAGCTGTTGGTTATTGTGGATGCGGATGCGGATGTGGGGCAGGGGGGGAGGAAGAGCTGATACGGCCGCTGCTGGATGAAGAGGCAGGGAGAAGGTGGGCGCTGCCGGTGGTGATGGTGGCGGGGAGAGGGGTGCGTGCCGTGAGGGAGGGACGGGTCGGAGCTGTGGGGGTGAGGTGGAGGTGGAGGGCGTTTGTGAAGGGGAGGGTGGTGGGGAACTTGGTGGTTTTGTAGAGGGTGGGGTGAGTGAGTGGGGGTGAGTGAGTGGGGGCGTTGGGCGTTTCTAGTTAGCTTTGGTTTGGAATGGTTTGCGTTTGGGTCATTTTGTGAAGTTGGGGTGTTGATAGAGAGAGAGCAGTGCGGTGAGTGATGAGCTGTGATGGAGATGTCACTGTGTGAGAGAGAGAGAGTGTGTGTGCGTCTGCTGCTGTAATTGCGAGTGGGATGGGATGAGTACTGTCTGCCCCGGGCAAATAATGAAATGAACGCCATTCGAGTCCAATGAATATATTATAATCAGAGTGCATGGCGCAGTCGTCTTTCCCATCGTGCACCATTCCCACGAAAATTCATCTAAAGATATTTAAAAACCCACCTTTCTACGCCCGAGGGCGAGCAAAATCACTACGAGAGCCCTCTCCCAATCATGAATTCCAACGTCATCCTCTTCCGGGGTTCCAGTCCTACTTTAAAAGTCGTAAATACAATCCATATATATACATGTGCTTCACCCTTACGAAAAGTTCCTTTATCCTACAGTCGACTCCCGTTACTAGCTAGCAAAGACGCAAAGTCTCCGGGTCCCCTGACTGCAGTGATACTCTCATTATGAGGATCCGCCCCACCTGTTGCTCATTATTTTTTTTAATAGTGTTACTCGCTGGATAAGTATACAGATTTTCGGACTCGACTGCATTCTTGTATCGAGAGTCCCGCATACAATTTATCGACCGTAGTTCTGTTCCAGGGTCAGGTGTAGTCCCGCCATCCAGGGTTAGGTGTGCTTGTGAGACTCCCGCTACACATGACTTGACATGACATCAACGTCAAACCTTAACCTCGGACCTCAACCTCACCTCACTTTACACCTCACTCTATGCACGATACTCCTCTTCCAACATCAACTTCCCATCAACTGCTTGGGCATTGAGGAAGACTAACTCTAACTAACGAGGTGGGCAGAGGGGACTTTGATGGAAATGGATGGATGTACACCTGGGTGATGGGTTACGAGATCTTTGGACTCTTGAGACTGCATCAAGTGTTGCTACTTTCTACGGCGATCTATCAAGGCCTTGATCCTTATTGGTAGATGGATCAATTCACTCATAAAGGTTCCTGGCTACTGACTGCCGGATGGACTGGAACAGAATTCCGAAAATTCCACCAAGATAAATATTTACAACTAAGGCTGGCATCACATACAGTCGGATATATATCTTTGTCTGTGGAACGTACGAGTGGAATTATACGCTACAAAGCCTTTCTCGAGACTTGTATATCCCTGGGATGCTACGCACAAAGGGGGGCCTGGTGCTCTCGGAGAGATTTTATATTGATACATTCGAGCAGCATTATCATCACACAAACAATATTCTGGCCACAATTCAAAAAGAAACAATGAAAAGTATGTACTACTACTAACCATACCTACGGAACTTTCTTAACGGCAAGTTTTTTTTGAACATTTTCGTGTTAACAATTGTATCACAAGACTCAAGATTGTGATCTTGGCCAAACTATTGCAATTGAATAATTCAATCCCGAGAATCATGGGGGCACCGGCTATATTATGAAATGACCCAAGCCACTTCAAGCTGATGGGATCACAGAGAAGCCTACAGGCACAAGGTCCGCGGTGGGCTGAGCTTTATGTCACATATAGTTTGGTTATCATGGGCTATCACTCGGGAATCCCGCCACCATCTCCGTTAGCGAGAGAGCCCGAAAATATCGGCGTTGAAGAAGGACAGAAAAAAAGAATCATCTCCACCTCGCTTACGCCTGACTCCTGTCAAGTGAAAAAGAAAAAAAATTGCCCGGAAGTCAGCTCCGGTACGATCCCATGTACCATGTTCTCACTCCCGTTCCCAACGAGGTTCTCCGAGCTGGTTTAGCAGTGTTATTTGGGATTGCTGCGGGGCCTTTGGTTATGAGGTAACGATATGAAAACTGGTTACTGGAACGTTTTCCGCAACCAGAGAAATTCATTTACCATAATAACCATCATGTGCCGAAACTTGCATTTCGTGGCTGATAATTGTGCCGCTCCGTGTACCGACGGTATGTGCCTTGTGTGTATGAGTATGAGTGTGTGTGTGTGTGTGTGTGTGGGTGCGCATTTCCCTAGGTACACCTGTTTTACGGCATGTTCTAAGGAATTTCAATTCCTGCGAAGTTTAAGAGTTCGGAACTTTTTTTGTGCCTGAGCCATTTCGAGCAGGCAACATCCATGCTCTCGACTGGGATTTTTCACGAAAGGCTGTGCGTGCGCTCTCCTCCAGCCACCCCCAAAGAAAAAAGAACGGGCCGCCACTTACCAGTGGTACGGGGAATCTATCTCCTCCACCACCCTTATAATTCCTGGAGTATAGCTATAAGACAGCAGTAGCTAGGTATGTAGGTACAGTGGTTCACAGGGTGAGGACGAGCACTGGGTGAAGACGAACCAGGGTTCTCAATATGGCAAGAAACAGCCAAGCTGCCCAAGTGATCTTTCTATTTGTCCAAAATCCTTGTTCGTCTACACCCAGTGTTCGTCCTCACCCTGTGAAGTGCTATGTACACGTTGCTGTCAAATATTCCCTGCTATGCATATGGCCTCTTTGAGCCAATTCAACAACACTCATGACCGAAATCAGGGGACTTGTTGAATAATTGCTTTCTTTTCCACCCATACATGGATAGACGTGTATGAAGGAAATGCACGAACAAGGTAAAATCGACCCAAATCGATCACTGCTGGGTTCAGTAATCAGTTTCCTTAACTGGACGACCTTTTTTAATCTGAAAAAAAAAAGGTTTGAATTTGGCCAGCACAGACTGCGGTGGGGCATGTCCTTTCCGCGGAACCTTTAGGGGAACAAACCTGACGCTTCCCTGTCAGCGCACAAACCCCAAAGGCAATTCGAAAAATAAAATAAGAAAGAGCCCTGGCAATTGTTCTACGGCGGCCACATGGGATGAATTGGAAGGGCGATCATCTACGGGCAAATCTACATTCAGCTTCCCTGGCGTTTTTTTCTTTCTTTTCTTTTCTCGTCTTGTCCTTCTTTCCCAGAGAAGCAGGAAAAAGCAATGAAAGAAGCAAAATATCTGAAGCATAAAGGGTTAGAAGACTGTAACATTCCAGAAAAAGCCCACGCGTAAAGTGTATCGGCCGGGAGAAGGGAGATCAACAATCATCAAAGTTTCAACCAATCCTGCTGTCATCGCTTTGTTCGTTGATAGCCGGTCAAAATATCTCCTGCATATCTATTGTACGTCCAAACAGAAAAAAACTAGGTATGTAGGTATTATTTTATTTTTGCCCTGCGTACCGATTGAATGATGAACCGGTGGAAGACGCATAGGCCAAGGTACCGGTAATTTTTTTTTGTTTAATTCATTAATAGGTACCGGTAATTGATTTCGCACTTTAATTATTGGACGTCCGGTGGGCAGCACAAGAGAAACCCCACGCCTCGCACAATGCTTGCTTGTGCTACCAATCAAGGAAGGACAGTGGTGAAAAACGATTTGCCAATAATAATAGTATCTTGAACAGACACTGTTTTCATATGCCCGAGCGGAAGGAATAAGGCAAAGACTAGGCTCGACTTGTCACGAGACAGAGGCTATCATCTTCGCTTGGAGCCACTTCTACCCTCCCCTTAATGACTATGGACCACACTATACTCTACAGTCACTCCTGCGGTGAAGACGGATCCTTCTGAGTGGTGAACAGGGATCTCTGGCCTAATGGTTGAGCTACATTGACTACTCCGTGCTCAATTATATCGTAAACATCCGTGGCCTCGGAGGGGGTTTACCGTTACCCAATAGGCGCAGATATCAATCAGTTAATTGATGTGGACTCTTCGGGCTTTGAATTGTAGTCGTGCATAGTGATTATTGCTGCATGTTTCATCCCGAAACATACGAGTGATTTGTTGTGACTCCAGCCTTGAGGACCGGTCTAGAGAGGGTCCTTGGCATCCTAACAATAATCAGGTCATGTTTAATTCGCCACATGTTAGATTCTCAGCCATATTACTTGGTTCTAGTACAACGACTTGTTATTGTACTAGTACGAGTATCATGATCGGTACTCAAACATACGATCTCTGAGTGATATACAGGTTTTGTGGCAGAACAACAAACCTGAGGCACATAAGATACATCATACATACGTATTAAGGGTACTCCAGGCTAGCTGTTCAATTACCCTGTTTTCCATTGGTCCGTTCAAAACAAAACATAAGGGGGATGATCTTGTTAAGATGGATATACGTAACGTATCGTGGGGATTATACGATCTAATTATTAACAGGGGCGCATTGGTTAGGTATTCGAATAACCCATTCTTATTAATTAACAACATATAGGAATATTCAAAGGGGCAAATGGCCCAGAATTATAGGTACTATAGCTTTCTGAATCATATCATGACCATTGCCCAACGTACGCGCTTAACCAAGTACTCCTGAAATCTAGTATCCATGGTCTGGGCCCGACTGACATGGCAATAGTGATTCAGATCAGGTTTGCTGTCTCTGAAATGACATTTGTGAGGAGAATTGCATGTTTCGTATTTACTCGAGAACAATAATTCACTTTTGGTATTACAACTAGGTGTGCATCCCCCTATCAAAATGTTTAACGCGGCTAAACCAGGTTTCGTGCTCCCATCGCGTTTAATTTACTAGTTTTTTGTTCGAGAGTTACTTCTTCCAAGTACAAGCTAGATATGGCGGAGTAGATCTAGAAAGAAAAAGAAAATACGGCCACGGATAGAAAGCCGTTTTTTTTTAGCGCTTTGGCTGGATATCGAACATCTTGGTTAATCATTTATCAGGAAAAAAAAAGAAAAAAGCCTACCCGTTCGCCAAGAAAAGGACCTGGCAACGATAATAGGCAAACCAACGCTTTTGGCTTGCTCAGCTGTTCGCCACTTGAGGGTGCCTCATGTGACGCATATCACAGCCTTGGAGGAGGAGAAATGCCAAAGCTCGATCGTATCATGGGCACGTAGCCTTTTCTCTTTTATGACCAGGAAGAGCCTATATGGAAAACTAGAATATCTTGTTCTAGACGTTGATATCTGATACGTTACTTTTGATACCGTTAGTTACTGGTGTGGTAAACTGCCGCGGGCCTTGCTATTTAGTAGGGTGCAAACCCGCATATCATATATTGATAACTGAGTGATCTTCAACCAGTTCATAATAATACGTTCCATTATAAGTAATTGACTAACTATTTGGGCAAACAACTCAGAGGATCTGAATCATCTGTGGAATACCGTACATATTCCTAATGCCCTAACTGTGGAATGAGTGATCGATTGAGTGAGTGAGCATTATGCCACGTAGAACGTGAGGATGACTGGACCTTTTTGATTGACTTTTCTTCCCGGAAATGACCGAGAGAAGGAGAAATATCGTTTCAGTAGCGTGTAAAGCTGACTAGGCTGAACAACACAACGCTTTGTAAACCTACCTGGCTGCTGCGGCGCTGCGGTGTACGTTGCCTGGGTACTGTGCAACGTCATGCACGCACAGCTAGATGGCTCTTTTGTCGATGGTTTATGCCAAATATCATTACCCAGGCAGGTATGCGGATCTTCTACCAGCAATGGGATCTGCCTAGCCTTGAAGAAATTACGCGATTGGGAAACTGAGGCTCCATGCTGGCACTGTACTATCCAGAGATGTGATGTGGGTACCTCAAATTCCTCTGTGTATCAATCTGTGGGTATTGACAGCCAAATAATTCGGCGTGCACATACAATAAGTATGTATGTATGTATGTACATATCTAGTGCCATCATTTTCAGGGTTTACCGATGGCCAACGAATCAGAGATCATTGCGAGCATGATAACCTAAAACCGCCCTCTCGTAAGTAAAAAAAAAAAAAAATCTTCACACATACAGTGGAGCGCATTACGCGTTAGAGGACGTACATGACTCGTTGAGGAAGGATTTCCGGGCCCTTTTTTCTTTAGAATCGGGAATACGGTAACATGTCTCAAACTGAGCATGCAGCAGCAGCAACAGCACTCTGAACAGTCGAACAAGTAATCATTTTTTTCTCTCTCTTTTCCCTTTTCCTTCTCCCTTATTTTTTTTCTTGTTTAACTGGCTGACGTGAGGAATTGGTCCGAAGTTCTCCTGAATTTGACGGCATGCTTTCCAAAAACATCAACTGTGCTCCCTATTTGCACCACGCATAAACCGCTGGAACCCACGCATAGTACATGACTCGAGAGTCCGTGGTGCGTAGTTTGTAGTAGTGGTTATCGGATAGCGAGAGAGAGGAGAGACACAGGCCACAGACACTCACCCCCTTCCTGCCCCCACCTGTCTTGAGAGGCTTGATGATGCGATTTTTGGGGATCCATTGGAACCGTACATACATATGTATTTGCAATTGAGGAGGTTGAGAGAACATATGGTCTGTGCATTCCATGGGTGTCTCAAGCCTTTTGCAACACCGCCTTTGTAAAGCCTTTGTTGGTTTTAGCGTCGTTCGTCGGCAACAACAACGACCGATCAAGTCAGGCGTGTGAAAGCAATTTAACTCTCTGCTCACAATCAATCAATCAGCAGCTGCGGCGGTAAGACCCCGACGAAATCTCCTCGATACCCAGATTTTATTGCCTGTCTTGATCTGTGATAAACCTGGGTACTTATTAGCTAAGGCCGTTCGTTCTTTAAAAAGATTTTCAAAAAGAAACTTTGGTGTACTCCTAGATCTACTCAATCGATGTGTAGGTACAGGTTCAGCCAGACAGCATATGCCATGCATATGCCTGCCTGGCTGGAGCTACAAGGAGAAGTAGCAATTAAGTGGATACCGTTCATCCCTTGAATGTAAGTACTTACATATACTGGTAACTTTGTCGTAATGCGGGGGACTGCAGTATAGACTGATGTTCTGCTTGGTTGATGTTTCCCTCTCGTTCTGTAGATAGGTTATGTGTACCTGTCTTTGATACGCTATTCCTATTAACCACATGTAGGTTGTGACTACCATACATACCAAATTCATCCTCATTGGATTGTTCGTCTCTTCCCGCATGTCGTGAAACCTTCGCCAATCTTTCGCTAATGCCACCCCCTACCAAGCAGCATTCGAGCGGAGATCCCTCTGCATGGCCTGGTGATTAATGATCCGAATTTCAGCTCAGGAATTGGAGGATCGTCGTTGGAGGGAATGGCCACCCAAGGGGATTTTCCACAGCCCCACGAACGATAATTGACCGAATGATCAATGGTATGAATCAGGGGGTCAGCAGCGCGAGCCCGGAGTAAAGACCCGGGGGGACATGTCAGGTAAGCAGGTTAATTCTACCTTTTCGTTTTCTCTCAGTACAGATACACGGTCCGTTCCGTGGAGGAGTGTAGGAAGCCGTGATTTTGCCTACGGCCGAGAAGGGTCGAAAAGGTTTGCGGGGGAGATAAAATTGGTGTCTGGTCTGCAGATCAGGGTATGCAGCCTGCTACATATCCTATAGTAGTTCAAGTACTTCCACCTCGTACAATTACTCTGCCATAACCTCCTTCGGGCCTGCTGTCGAATTGAGACAGACATTACCGTCCGTCGTCAGCCCTCTTTTCCATCCTTCCCTTCCCTACTATGTAGTACTAGTTGTGCTCGTCGTTCCTTGTCAGTTGTTTATCCCGTCGGAAACAAAGTACATGGTATACTTGGAGCATCTAAAGATGGTAGCTAGATGTTCAATACGAAGAAGCGATAAATCACGCAACCCACTAATTAAGGGCATGACATGGCGAATAAGACTTATCAGTGAAACGTTTAAAAGGCACGGCAACATTTTACAAAGCCGATCTAGGCCGTAATCGGAATGGCTGGATTAGTCAACCACCGGGTACTTTGCTAAAAGATGGAATAAAGGGCCGTCGGCCATGCGATTCGCGATTGATAGATGAATCCATGGATGTATCCTGTTGTGGAAAGGTGATATCACGGAAGGGGTAATCGTAATCATAAGTTCAGAGCATGCAGATACCTACCCTTCTCTGCTTGTCCAGGGAGTCAGGGACCCCCAAAAAACTCATCAGCGATGGAGCAAGCTTCTTCTAGTACGAGCTTTGCGTAACCCCAAGTTCCTATTTCCATGCTGGCAGAGGTCTATGTACTCTATGATCTAAATCTGTATATGACAGCCCATTGCACATTGAGCACAAAGTGCTTATCGTTTTGCATCAAACCAAACCTATGGATCCTATGACGCCAGAAGGCAAAAAACGACTTCCATTGATTGATTTTTTCCTTTTTTGACCCCCTTACTCGTGTTCTGATGGGAACTGCACATAGGGAGAATACCGTACCTTTTTCCTAATAATAACGATCATCAGGGTTTTCAATTGGTGCAATTATCAAGATCGACGCCCTGTTCGGTGGTACCATTAAAGGACTGGATATTAACGCAGTACTCTACTCGAGGACAGTAGCGAAGGTTCCGAACCCATGCATGCATTTCATGCGCCGCGGGACAAAAAAGCAAATCCAAGAAATGCCATGCGACATAATTTAGAGTGCATACATAAATAATTTAGAGTAGCTATATTCCAGACCCAGGTAAAGCAACACACCAAGAACAAGAAGGTGAGCCAGCCAGCCAGTACTACATACATTCCATACCTCTAGTGACTGAGTAAATCATAGGCTGTACCAGCTAGTGTTCTTTTCTTTTTACTTTTTTTACTTTTCTCTGTCCCCCTTCTGTTTCTTATAGTTTGTTTTTCCTTTTACTTGTCCCACCGCCTCAGGGGACGCTCATCAGTCAGGAACAAGAAACATGTCCATGATCATTTCTTCCTAATTTCGTAACCTTTTATAACGGCTTTCGCCGAACGAGTGATAGATGCTCTTGGCTAGTCCACTCGCTTCTGGAAACGTGGTGAAGTTTAACTCGGATACTACCGATCGAGTGAGTGACGGCTGTGCTAACGCCATAGACGACGCACGTACCGGGTTTTACACTTCCGCTTTAACATGTCTTAAGTAATTAGAGTATGGCCTTATTTTTTTTTATATTTTTTTTAAATTCCTTCTTTTCTTTCTCGATTTCCTCTTTCTGCTCGCGTTCAATGGCAAAAATTAAAAGTGACGATGATTCGTTCGGAGGTTGAGCTGGACTGACTATCTATCTATTCACGGCAAGTCGCTGCTTTGCTTTTTCGAACTGCTTAAGGGAAAAGAACACGTTTGGTCACAGGATCCTAGGAGTGATAGTGCAGCAAGTGTAGCGCTTCAAGTGCGGAGTGTGAGTGTGAGTGTGTGCGAGATTCGAAGGCTCAGTAAAGCCTCCCCTGATTCCCATTTAGGAGTAAACAATAGACATACATAGTCACAAGAAGAGTTGTAAACAAAAGAAAAGAAAAAAAAGGGTCAATAATACACAAAAAAAATAGGATCCCCCCTGATCAATAAAAAAGATAAGAGAAGAAATAAGAAAGGAAATAGAGATGAATAACTGAGAAATAATGATGATGATACCGGCTTGCGAAAGCGTGGAAATTTAGATGTTGAAAAGATAAGGAAAAGAGATATAGTGGAGCTCGAGGATCGATATATAATAAAAAAAAAAAAAAAGAAAAGTGAAAAAGGTATTGAAGGAAAGACAAAGAAAAACATTAAGAAATAAAAACCAGCAAACACCAGTGTCCCCAGATAAATAAAAAAGAACCGTCTTTGATTAACCCCTGATGACCCAAAATGACCCCCAAATGCCCCTCCCAAAATCCCCGTACACCCAATGAACCCCCAAGTCAACTTCCGATTACAATCCTTCTCTGTCGTTCAACAAAAAACCCTCATCACTTGAGTGTGATTGTTCTCGCTTCATGTCGTGGCATTGGATGGGTGACGTCTGTGCAGCCTGTGGCTGCTGTGGTGCGATTTCTTTCCACTTCTTCTCACAGGTTGATGCCGGTATCTTCTTCTTGCAGCCCAATTCAAGCATCTTCTGGGAGATAAGCTCCCACTTTTGCTTTTCCAAGTAGTCCTTTGCTTCCTTCAAAAGTTGAACCTGAATATCAAACTCAATATTAGTAAAACTATATCGGAAGTGACCAGATATCTGAAGGATGGTTCTTACATCTTCGAGGTCCCACACCCGCATTTTCTCCTTGAGCCTCTTGTATCTCATTTGTAATGTTGGTACCCTGAATTCCCTCTGTTCATATCTCGAAACTTCTGGGCAATTGCTTTCCATGGGAGGCCCTCCTCATCCTTCAACTTTAGGAGCAGATTGTCGTCTTCTGTCATAGTCCAAGCTTCCTTACTAGTCGACTTCCGGCGCTTTGCGTTTGGAATTTGCGAGTTTTGGTGACCGGGAGAAGATGCTGGTGTTGGATCTGGTTGATATGGCCGCTTGAAAGGGTTCGAAGGGGTATGTGGTGGGGGCGTTGGCGGGATGTGGGAAAGTGTTTGATGGCTGATTTGGTAGGAAGGCAGAACTGGTACTGAGTGACTTTCCTCGTCTTGCAGGTCCCGCTCACGATCTTGAGAAAACGATGGACTTGATAATACTGTCAATGGTTGTTCTAATACCGCGCTTGTTGGGTGAGAGATGTGTTGCGAAGGATAGGTGTGATGCTCTATAGGATGGTGGCTATCCAATGAGGCGTGGTAGCTTAAGGAGGGCTGTAGAAGTAAAAGGTTATTTGTTAGTGATTGCTAACAGAGAAAAGTGTATGTTTGTATAAAACACCAAACAACGTCCACCAACTTGACAAAATGCAGAATTCGGAACATACTGGCATAATCCACTCCTCATCATCGTATTGATTCATCCGGTATTGGCTTTGTGCGATATAATCGACAAACGGCGAAAGCGCTGGGTAGTGGGCCGAGTTGGGAGCCACAAATGAGGACCACGGTAGAGACCGTGGGATAACTTCGAGTTCCTGAATTTTGAAAGAGTTGAAGGGAACTGGAGGAGATTGGTAGGATATGAACGAGAGAGGAAGAGCAATAAGCTTAAGTGCTTTAAGCTTATTGCTGTTATACCTGTTGGGGTTGGCTGCTGTTGGTATTTGTATCAAAAGAAAACAGAGCTGGCTGCTTATAGTAGTAGGTAGTAGAGCTTAGAAAAAGAAGGTATCCAACAATAAGTAGAAAAAATAAGAGGTATGACGGAAGTGGTGGTGGATATGGGCGAATTGATAAAGCAAAGACTGGTTGTAGTAGGCTAACACACACGCACACGCAGTAATATGTAGTTGGGGGTCCTGGGAAAGTCGAGGAGAGCAAAAGGCTTCGCTACTTCAATCAAGCTTGGACTCGAAGCGGTGACACTGCATTGAGCGGGAGGGGGGAGACCTCTCTTATTTGTTTTAAGAGGAAGGAAAAAAAAAATCTAATTTTTATGTATTGCCCCTTCCAAGAATTACAGTCACGGTGTTGAATCGAAAGCCCCCGGTGCAGGGGCCGCGGGCGCAAAACGCCTCTTCACCCTACCTCCCACACTTGAATCCTCTTCCCTCCCCGTCTTCGAAAGGGCTCTCTTCCCTCCCCAGGACGCCCCTCTCCCCCCACCACAACCCGCAACCCACCAATGCACTTCTAGGTTTCATAGGGATCTTGAGCTCGCTCGGTAGGAGTTAGGCGATATGCAAGCCAAGGCCACAAATGGGCTGCCAATGTGCCTCAAGCTCTAAGCGCCCCTGGGTGCCCGATCTTAACTCTAGAAAATTGTAGCAATCCAGGAACTGATTGGCAGGCAGTCGATGACCACACTTGCAGGGAGATGAAGGTCAGTTAACAAATGTTCTTCGAGGTTCGCTACCACTGGTAAGTGACTCTCCGTCTCTTCCTTAACTCCCCATCTAGACATAGACACACCTTGACACCTTGACACCTAGAGAACCTAGACCTCCTCCTCCATCCTCCTAGTTTTCCTGGTAAGTACTAGGTACGTGATATATTCTCCATGCTATGCCTACGCGCGGAGGGACAGTCTGAAAGTTCTGTTACAAGTGAATCATTTGTTTAACATCATTTAGAGAGCCTGCAGGCAAGTTCCAGTTTGAGTACATGTACTCACTTTACTTACAATGTAGCTCGCTGAGTACGCAGAGAGCCTCGTTCGTAAACTTTCAAGCTGACCCCCCCCCCCCCCCCGGTGCAAGAAGTGCCCAGATTGAGCGGCTGTGGATAAGTAGGTACACATCACTTCCTATTCTAGTGATTCGTATAGTACTTCCCCAAAGGACTCTCCCACTTTACTCTCTCGACCATTTTTGGTCAGCCAGGGTCAAGAATTGGTTGCGCACATATTCGTACAGATTCAATATCTCAATCCTCTGGGACGTCATTGGCTGTATCAATTCATCCTTCAACCCACAGCACTATCCATGAACAGATGCTGCACCCCTACAGCACCTCCAGATTATCCCAGTTCCAGGGTGTTGTACCTACTCAACGCCCCCCCAAAAAAAAATCCTTCCCCGGCCCGTCTGTAGAGTAGAGTACCTACATACCAGAATTGCTGGCGTACCAAGAGGCTGTGATCACTGCGCATACGTACCGTACCTGTCTGTCTCTTTCTCTCTTTCTCGGCTGCCCAGAGGAAAAAGGGTTTAGGTGGAGACCACCTGACTTCTGCCATATGCATGTAGGTACAATCCCCGCTACTGACGTGCTACAGCACTACGGAGAAATAAGTAATGCAGACTGTTTTACCGAAGCGGAACCAGCCCTGAGCCTATAGATTGCAATCGACGGTAAACTTGGGTTTAAATAATTTCTGTATTCTCTTCTCAATGTATGCACATACAAGCTATAGTCTAACAATGATAGCTACACCATGGGCTGAATTCTTTTTTGATTTTTTTTTCTTTCCCTCCATCCCCACCCCTACCTCCCCGGGCCATGCCATTCGCCTTTGCTTTCCTTTTTCCCTGCCCTGCGTACTCGCCCGTCTGGCTGCCTGCCCGGCACACAATTAGGGTGCTCAGGGTGGCTGCAGCAGATGAAGAATAGGGCAGATCAGGATCAGGGAATAAGAAAGCTAAAGGGGACAGTACAGAGAGAGACTATAGCAGAAACGGCATCACAGTAGATCAATTTATTATGCAAAGACCATCACTGCCACCACCTTGTTCCGAATTGTACATTACTAGTTCTGACGACAATGATGCTGCTGTTGCTGATCCAGGTACGGATGTCGAGCCCGTTACGAACGCAAGTACATGGGGTTAATGACAGGCCAACCGCGCTCTCACTTCTAATCCATCTTTATCTCCCTCCGTTGACTTATCGAGATTTGTATTCTCCTGCAAGTTACCTACCTGGAACAACAAATTTCACTTCAAAAGTCAGGTGAAACTTCATGTAATGTAAGCAGTGTGGAGGAGTACGAAGCTCCGAAAACCAAAGAGGTTTTTTCTTCGCTTTTTTCTTCTTTTTTTCTTTTTTTTCTGTTCCTAACGTACCTCAACGGTATGTGGCAGTTCAAAACATCCGTGAAATTCTAGATCCCTCATCTCGATGGATCACAAGGGTTGCATCCATGGCCCTCACTCCCTCATCCTCAATATTAGGGTTTCCTTTTTTTTCTTCTTTCTCTCTCTTCTTTCCTTTTCTTCTTTTCTTTTTTTTTCATTTTTCGTTTTGTTTCGTTTCTTTTTTCTACTTTTGCTTCATTCTCTACTTCGTCGTTTCCCCCCTTCTCTCACCAAATCTCACAAGCCTAGGTTCGAATTCTTGGAGGGAAGGATATGGCGAAGGCGGAGTGTGCGTGAGTGTATTGCGTGTTGTTCTCACCTCCTCTGAACCACCACATACCACATGCATAGCTAAACTAGGTGGCTAGACTGAAATAGAGTAGAGCCCCATGAGGGGCAGCATTTCCATGTGGCACGTGTCCTTGGTCCTATAAGATCGATTTCTTATGCCTAATCGCTGATCATGGATCGAGAGGAAGTGTGGTTTTCTTCCGTTGAATGTCTCTACATACCCTATTGGTGTACCTGTACCTTGCCTGACAAATGCCAGGGAAACACTGTCTTTTCTTGAGATGGAGTGTGTTTGCGAAGGGGGAGGGGGGTGTCGAATTCGGTCAAGACATCCCTAATCAGATAGTGATATAATCAGATAGAGTAGGTAGAGTGGCTCTAAACCAAAGCCTTAGATGGTACATCCCATATAATATTTATTACTATATGATATCACAACGGTCTTTTTGGTATCGGTAGCGGAACCGCGCGCGATAATGAACCAAACCCATGTCTATCCCCCTCATTATTGTAGTCCTGATTTGGTCCTGATTCGCCCAAAACCCGGGACTTGCTAGCTAGCATTTCCCTTGGTATGTAGATATCTGCACGCCCATTTTTTGCTGGTCCATTTTTTCCCTTGCAGTTAGTGATACTAGACTCGTAGTGTGGCCAGCCAGTAAGTCAGGGTAGGGAGCCTAGTTCCGTCGATCTCAAGACCACAACCGCCCGCTTACTCCGCGCGAATCGCCCCGACACTGATACTGCAGCAGCAGTCATTACCAACAAAATTAAGAAGCAACAACTTACATAAGTGTGCATTTGCCCCATCCCATCTCCGAATTACCATGCGGTCTAGCTTTCTGGGACTCTTCTGATGGGGTAGTAGGAAGTGGTTTCTCTCCCCACCTCTGCCCTATGGAAATGATACACCGGGGCGGCAATGGCTGTCAGAGTCCTGATAATTAAACGACAGACAGAGTCTAGAAGCGCCCTAGAATCTTGAATCCTCCTCATATTCATCATCATGGTCATCATCCTCGTCGTTTTGACGCCATTCAATTGTCATCGAGGAACATGGAAGCATGTTTCTAATGCTCTAGAAGTTTGAGGTTTGGTTTTCTCGTATCCATCCATCTAACCTTCTCCTACTTGCCCTGCCCTGCCTGCTACCTGACATGTCACGTTTCAGCTTGACAGACATCAACTCCTTAGTTGGAGATCCGATCTACAGATTGATTAGAAGTTACGACATTGGCCTTTGTTTTTGTTTTTCTGACACCTGAAAACTTATTTTATTCCCACTCGCTTATGCATCTGTATGTAGACATTAATAGCTGGTAACTGATTAGTAGAATTAGTAAAGCCTTGGCCCGATCTCATTCACCATGGACGTTTTATCCCTTTTATAATGTCACGATACGCCTACATTATGTCAGGGCCCGTCGACAGTAAAGGAATTGATCACATTCCCAATGGCCTGCCTTGTTATTTC